AAGATTGAAATATCAATTACAGATCAATTTTCTCCTTAAGTAAACACTAATGCAGGATAAACAGCATTAGGAGATGCAATCGTAGCATTGCTGACTTCAGGACCGACTGCCTGCTGCTCACAGCAAGTATAAGCTTGGAGATTAATTAACCTGAGGAGATATCACTTAAGAAAGATTTAAGGCGATCAGGTTTGGGAAAATGAAGCAACCAGGCATATTAAGGAGAAGGCGGCAAGTTTCTAGAAAGGAGCAGCAAACTTTGATTTCTTCTCCTGTGGTTGAGGCTCTTGTTTTCCCCGGCTTTAAAGATTAGCTTCAAAAACAAGGGCATTCTCCTTTCCTAGATAAGCCATGGTAAAGCCACAGGCTCTTAAAATAATTCTGGTCCACAATCCGAAGAACTAGGAAAGTGTTTGAAAGAACTCCTTATCAGGACAACCTCTTCTAAAGGAGACATCTGAAGGCTTTGTGGTTTGTTCCCTATTGAGGACCTGAGTCAATAAGTTTGGCCAAACAGCTAAGTTTCCTTATTGATATAAACAAATATCAACCAGGGAAGAGAAACTAGCAGTTAGCTTTTGGAGGACTTTCAATGGTGCTACATTCTGGTAGGCTACCATCAGCCTGGTTTTTGCTATTTTATTGTCCTATTTGCAATCTCTGGAATCCCTTCGTAACCCTTGGAGCTGTGAGAAAGCAGACCCTTGGGTTTTGTAGAACAGACTGCAAATGGTCAACTGCTTGAATATCAGCCGCACAGGAGGCTGCCTCAGTTTCCTCAAACAAATAGTGACTTTCATGGTCAAGTTGCCAATGTCACGTATGGGACCAGAGTCCACAGGAGTTGTATCACGGTTGATGTAGCTCCTTAGAATGCACTCAGATATTCTGAAACCCAAAGCTAAAGATGACCCATTTTAAGAAAACTGGGAATGTTGGGATGACGTTTAACCAAAAGGCAGCTCAATTCTATAGGAATTGCCTGGGAAAATAGGCTGAGCAGTTAATTCTAGATTTTGATCCAATTTAAGCCAGCATTTATTCAAGAAAAACCTCTTCTTCTGGAACAAATGAGCCAAGGAACAGGAACACATATCTTGGAGCAGACCCAAAACTCACTCAACCATCTAGTTTAAAAAGGAAAGAGTTTAAAAAGCAACTATCCAGCTTCAGGTCAGGTAGTCCAACTGTTTCTGGCCAAATAAATATAGCCAGTTGTCTCTTCTTGCCACCTTTCCTATTAGGGCTCAGCCAATGAGAAGAAAGGGACTGTGACAGCATTAGTGTGCTCAGAGAGTAGATCAAACCAGATAGCAGATCAAGGGAAAGAACCAAATTCTGGGGAGTAAGTCCAGATTCCCTTCCCCTTCAGCCTGACACTCAAAAAACATAATCAGATGAAGCTTCCTGTCGACAAAGGACAAGACGTTGAGAAAGGCAGGCTGGTTTTCCAGCAGAAAAAAGCACGGTTTCTCCAGAGGGAGAACTAATTCTCTTCTATTGAGTAGAGTTTTCCTTTTATGGTTTTCATAGGACAGTGAATGATGGGGCATTGGAGGACCCATTTCACGTTCCTGCCGACACCAATGTCCGGGGAAATGTCATCTGCCAACTCTGATGCCCGTCCTCAAGGAATCAGGCTTCCCTTGATCTTCTTTTGAAACCAGACAAGAAACCACTAAGACTTGCCGGTGAAAAAAAAATCTCCCCTACAGCTCCATTGGAGAGCATTTCTTCACAAATAATTTAATGGCAAGCTTGCAAATACAGCACACCCTTGAGGGAGGAACAATAAGAAAGACCAGAATGCAGAGGCGTTTCACTACCTGTTGGCATGACTGGGCTTTCTTGAATGCCACTGTGGGAGCCCCGAAGAGGCAAATCCATTGGAGGAAAGGTCTTTTGGACCACTGTTGGTCAAGATCCTAGACAGGTCAAGGAAGCAAAGAGGCCAAACTCTGGCTATTCATGAGGTTTTTCGGTGCTGTTGGATCAGGGGAGGCCCTCAGCCTGACCTTCTGGCTAACGGAAGGTCTCAAAGAAAGTCCTGGTGTCAGCAGGGCCACCCATGACCATTCAGAAGCAGTTCTGAATTCTGGGGGTTGAGGTCCGCTTGTCTTAAACTTGCACTGGGAAGGGGGGTCCATGGGTAACACCCCCTCGGCTTCAGGAAGCAGGCCACAGGGGACAGAGCCAGGAGACTCAAGGAGACAGAAGTGAGAAATAAGCACCAACTGAGGACATAACTAGTTTTGTAACATTAATTTGTTTTTATTAAGAAGACAGATACTTTATAGTACTTCTTTCTCTTTGTAAAAATGGTATACATGAACCAATACAAAATGTGAATGGGAAGAAATGGTTATGCGTTTTCTTACACTGTAACATCATCCATGGACACCTTAAACAGAATCGGCCTAAGGGGGCAAAATTAAAACAGGTCAAAGGGCGAGTCAAGAACAAGCTTATTTGGCATTAGCAACGCACCCTTCATTTTCCTCCTCAACTTTCCTTTTGGTTCTGTCTTAAGGAAAAGGAAAAGGGGGAAAAAATAAAACCTCATCCGAATGACCAAAGCCCAAAAAACAAGTTTGTTCTTTCTCAACTCCTAACTCTTGGAATCTAAACCTGCACAAATCAATAGCTAACAATACATTTCAAACAGTGCACGGAACACTTGCAGGAACAACCGCCCTCCCCCCTCCTCAAAAGAGCCTCCTTCCCGGGCGATGGTGGAAGACCCACTGCCCACCCTTTCCTGGTGGGGGTTGCTCCTTGCGGTCTCTTCCAAGGTGTGGGATCCAAAAAGTTTGCAATCTACCTGAGACGGAAACACCAATCAAAACACGTGAACCTGAGACATCTCAACAGTATTAAGTCAAAGTTACATCGGGAACACGGCACTACTGTACACTTTCCAAAACAAAGATGAGCCGCTCAGCGCAGAGGATGTGCCAGTTCTGGGATCGGTGGTGGTTAAAAAAAGGCCCCCTCCCTCTTGAAAATCGTTCAGAAGCTGTCCATGGCCTGCCTGCCAGTGTGGCCCCCGACTGGGGTCTTCGGTGGTTCCGAAGGCTGAGAAACAAGATGGCGTGGTACAAAATTGGGTAGGGGGCAGCCAAAGGCCAAGGGTTTGGGTTCATGGCTTAAGGATGGTAAGGTGGGGGGAGGGAGTTGTCGGGGGAGGGAAGATGGGAAAGTTCTTTTAAAAAGGATGGGTTTCGCGTGCCAAATTCTTCAGCGAAAGGTTAACGTCTAAATGTTTGTGCCAATAATTTAAAAATAAATATTTTAAAAAGCCTTTCTTTTTTCTTTTTTTAAAAAAAGATGTTGACGTAAAGAGATGATAGTCTCTCCCCCCCCCTCCCCGCGATAAATCTTTGCAAGTATATAACAGGACAGCCATACAAATCTATCAGCCAGTATCCTTTAAGTGCTTCCCTGTAAGCCAACCCTGCTTCCAACGTGGGTTTCTCCCCGGAGAGACCCAGTTTTCCTAGGGCGTTTTTTCCCACCGTAGCAACTTTAAGACAAGTGGACTTCGACCCCCAGAAGACCCCAGCCAGTGTTGCGTTGCTGCTGAGGAATTCTGGGAGTTGAAGTCCACTTGTCTTAAAGTTGCTACGGTGGGGAAACACTGCCCTAGATGACTCTGGACATACGAGATGCCTCCTGCCTCCTCCATCCCCTCCCAGGCTTTCCGAGAGGGAGGTGCCCCCCCATTTCCAGCCTTGGGGAAGAGAGGAAAGCTGTTCCGTTATTGGTAGCCGGAGGATGAGCCCGGGGAAGGGAACCAAGGCTCCATTTGGAAGCTGAAGTCAGGGAAAAGGAAAAAGAAAACAACCTTTCTTTCTTTCTCTCTCTCTCTCTCTTTCTGTCTTGCACACCCACTCAGCCTGAAAAAATTTGGATCAAGTAAATGAAACGTTGCTGCGCTGACTTCCTGGGGACAGAGGCCCAGGGGCTGCCCAGCTGGAGAGCAAAGCTCGCTTCTCTTCCATTCCCCGCTGCCTTTTGTCCGACAGCCACATCCCGAAGGCGTGGCAGGCTTCTCCCAGCCTCTGCCTTGGGGACTTCGGGGTGCCCAATATGGGTCACAGGCAGGGCTTGCAGCCCGTGATCACGCCGTGACCTCTTTCGCCAAGCACCAAAGGGAAGAAGGGATCAAACGAGGCCAAAAGAATACGCAGAACGAAAAGAGGGAGGAAAAAATTTTTTAAAAAGCAAAAGGGGACAAGTTTGGCCGATTCACAGAGTTTTCTGTCTCCAGCAAATTACAGTGATGCTGGGCCAAATTGGGAGCCACCGACGGGACCTTAGGGAACCCAAATAATCGGAGCCAAAGTCAACCCTTCCTCCCCCTTGTACGACTCGGCTTCGCCTGCTGTCCCCGAAGGATCTGCCCCCCCCCCCGTTCGTGGCAACCGTTTTGGGGAAGATCTTGGACACGGTATCTGCAGGCTGATCGCGCCGGTCCAGACTCTCCAGAGCGCGGAAAAGCACGGAAGGAAAGGAGGTTTGGCTCCCGAGGCACACACACTTTGCTTGCAGGTGCTCAAGTCAGCACCCTTCTGGCTCTCGGTGAGAAGCAGCGCGAGTCCAGGTGCTCGTCTTTGCTGCACTGGAAACTGAGGCAGCGGCTGCCCCTTCTCCTACAAAGCCTATTGGTCCAAGCTCTCACAACAAGGGTTGATGATGGATGATGGATACACTCAGTTTCAAACAATGAAATCTAAGGTGTGCTGGTTCTCCTTTGATGACACGGTTTCAAACAACAACAACAAAATAGAACCCAGAATCTCCAAAAAAAAAAAAAGAGAGAGAGAAGAAGAAATAGAAGAAGAGAAAACTAACAAAACCAAACGAGATTTTTTTTTTTTAAAAAAAACCCATCAATAACCAACCAGCTCAAATCTCTTCTCAAGGGATTCCAGCAGACAATTCCAAGAAAGGCTAGGAAGAAAAAAAAAAGTAAGAACTGTATGAAACTGTAGGTTCTCTCCCCCTCCCTCCTCCCCTCCCTCCAATGAAATAAAAAATAAAACAAGGCACAGAATTTTCTGTAAATGATGGAACTAAACTAAATCCAAGCTGATCTTGGCCATAGAATTAACAACCCAATGATACAGAAGTGTCACACAGCAGAGTGTACTTTACAAAGAACACCTTTTTTTTTTTTAAACGTTGGGACTCCTCAACTCCCACACATTTTGCCAGCCATAAATGTAGAAAATAAAAAGAAAGAAAAAGAAAAAAAAAAGAAAAAAGAAAAAAGAAAGAAAGAAAGAAAAAGAAAGACACACGAAAGAGACAAATTAAAAAAGCTGTAAGCTGGTAGCAACTTCCAACATCATTGTCTTTATCTTCTAGGAAGGGCTGGGCCTCCCTCAGCCCGGCCGTTGGGCGCCTCCTGGAACAAGGGGGCTCTAAATGAAGTACTCCTTCTTCTCTTCGGAATTGTTCTGTCCCCCCTCGGCGTTGATGATGGCAGTGTCGGCATCGGCTGCGTCGTCAGCTCCTTTGGCTTCGTGAGTGAAGTATGTACCTGCGCCAAGGAGAGAGGCCTCAGGGACCCTGCCACGCCAGGTGGGAGACTCCAGCTCAGCCCCCCTCCCGCTCCCTCCTCCCAGGCCTCCCACTCCATGCTTCCCATCTTACAATGCAAAAGCTTTTGGCTAGGGCCTTTTCTGCTCCGCCATGCCAGCCCTTCTGCACCCCTCTCCCCCCCACCACCACTGCTTTTGGCTGCATGGAGAACGGCCTTCCCTAATTCCGGGTCTTCCTGATGTGAGGGAGGACAGCTTCCAAAATCCCCAGGCAGGAGGCTGATCGAAGTCAGCTCAAAGTCAAATCAGTCCTCCCTGAGATTCTGAAGGGGGAGGGGCCTGAAGATTTACACAAATTTAGACCGAATTGCACCAGGAGACACCCTAGTGACTGGTGTCCCAGGCCATTAGGCACCGGACTTTGATCACTGGCAACCGAGCAATCTCCCCTCACCCCACTTGGAGGGATATTCTAAGGAAAAGTTGGCCTTGCAGGTCTTTATGCATCCGTTCTGCTAGGCTGCCCTCCCAGAGGTGCAGCTGATAGTCCCGGTGTACTTGGCCGCCGTTGCCCCCCACAGCCAACAACTCCCCAACCAGTCTATCGATGAGAGATGTTGGCAATGGGTTAAAAGGGGGCATCCATGATGAGAATCCAAGCAACACAGGTGAATAAAGCCCCCCTGCATCTTTCGAAGGGGTCTGCCCAAATTATGATGCAAGGCAGTTGACCTTCTGACGGTCTTGAAAAATGTCCTTTGCCCGTACAGACTGAGCTCCAGGAGGAGACTGCGTAGGGCCTGCCTGATGTATGAACTATGCGGAAGACCCTCCATTTCTTGGGTGGGGGGAAAGCATTTTGAAAAGCTCTTAGCCCTACAAAGCTCCCACACACATTTTAAGGAATACCTAATATGCAGGGCGACATATGTCCATCCGATTAGAGTGAGACCGCCAAGCCAACTGGTTTTGTAGCCTCCACGATTCTTGATTAAATCCTCAGAAAAAATTGGACCAATGGCATAGTTCCTTCCGGCATCTTTAACTCTCTAAAAGTCCTGCAAGGGAGGACTAGGAGGGCTTTCTAGTTGCCAAACTTGGCAACCTTAAGATTTGTGAACCTCAACTCCCAGAATTCTCCAGCCAGCATAATTCTGGGAGTTGAAGTCCACAAGTCTTAAAGTTGCCAAGTTTGGGGACCCTGTTCTAGTGGTAGGAGCCACTTTTTGCTTCTGGCTGCATGGACTTCTGTCCAGCCCTGGGAAAGGTTCTGCTTGATTGGGCGGAAAAGTGGGGAAGAAGCTGGGTCTATGAGACAGACCCCCTCCCCCTTAAGCCCATAGAACAGGCAGGGAGAAGGCAGGGGATGTCAAAGACCCCCTTCTGCCCAGACTCTTTGTTGACAAGCGTCCCCCTTGCACTGACCTTTGTGTCTTGCAAAGTACCGCCCCAGGATGATCAGGAGACAGAGCATAGCAAAGACCACCACGGCCACCACTCCGCCGATCACCGCATGGTCCACCGCCGTGATGGCGCTCTCTTCTCCTGCTCGAGAATCTGCCACAATTAGAAGATGGTCAGGATGGACCCTGGCGACCTCGGTCACCTTTCCTCGCGCAGGTGTGACTTATTTTAGGCCAGGGGTGTCCAACCGTGGCAATCCTGGGGCTTGTGGGCTTCAACTCCTGGAGTTGGGAATGGAGGTCCACAAGACTTAAGAGTTGCCAAGGTTGGGTGCCCGTTTTAGACCAAGAGAGTCCTGAATGGGACCCAGGAAGTGGTCCAGGCTGCTGGGCACTACTGGAATTCATTGGGGGAGGGGGAATTAGGAGATGCTAGCAGAAGGGGAAGCGACTGGGAGCATGGACACATTGCTTGGGGGGGGGCACGTTCTGATATAGGGAATCCATACCTTGTAGCTGCAGCCCCATAAAAAATGTCCCCCCACCCTCAAAGAAAGACCGAATTTCTCTGAAGGAGCAACAGGGAGACAGGTTCTGCTACCTTCTCCCCTGTGAACTGCAGTTCAACTGGGGACTGTGGTGGATCAACCCTGAACTTCTCTCTGTCCCCCCCACCTCCTTTTTCTGGGAGATTTCAAAAGCGTGCCATCAACCTCTTCTGAACTGAAGACAAAAAGCAATCATTGCCTATTGCTTTTATTTTATTTATTTAACATCTTGCCTTGCAATTAATTTGCTTTTACAAGCTGCTCGCTCTCTTCTACTCCCCCCCCCCAATGCTTTCTGTCAGAAGAGGAATGACTTGCTCAGCTGGGGAGAAACCGCAGTGAACCCCGAGTGAGGGATGGCCACGTAAAATTAATGTATAGCAATGTAAACAATTTTAATTTAGGGACGCGGCTCCAGCAGCCCTTCCCTGCAACTCTAATGGCAACCGAGATTTATAAGGGAGCAAAAGACAATTATTCTCCTGTTGATTAATACATTAACATTTTGGAAAGGAAGCTCAGCCACGGTCGCCTCTCCCCACCTCTCTCCCTCTCTCTTTTTTATTTCTTTGATCGAGTTTAATCGTGACACCTCCATTAAAATGATTTACTGGCCGTCCCTTACAATTTAAGCACAGCAGCAACTGAAATGGTAAAATTCTTTTAACTTTACATGATTTGTGAAGTCCGATGTGAAGGATTTGCCATTTAAATCTTTCACTACAAGAAGCGCCTGGCCAATAAAGCCCCCCTGCCTGCCCGGGTGCCGGAGAGAAATGCATTTTGCCAGGAAGAGCCGGTTGTGCAAATTTCAGCCCGTTTTTAAGAAAGATTGATCTCTCCCCTGAGAGGGTCCTCTCTCGAAGGCCCCCGCCTCTAATAATATTTGAAGTTTATCGATCAAGTGTGCAGCTCCATGACAGCTCCAGGTAATGGGGCTTCTTGGAGGAGAAGGAGGGAGGCCAGATAGGAGCTTCTCAGTCGGGGAGAAGGATTTACGATCCCCACGGAGAGCATCAAATCTGCGCCATGATTAAACACTCAGAGGTAAGTAAATAACTCCTGGCCGAAAATTGCTGCAAAATCAAGTTTAATTAAAAAAAAAATACAGTTCCAATTAAGAGTCTTCCAGAGGCCCCGTTAGATGCTGTCCAAGCAAACTGCCTCACTGGAATGTGAAGAGCAAAATCCTAGTTCCCACCAGGGAGGAGACAGGTAAGGAGGGTGCCAGAGGGAACAAGGCTGCTATAGCCGTGGGTCGATCTACCCGCCTTCCACCTGCAGTGAGGGAAAAAGATCATCAGGCAGGGTGAGGGGCGTTGTTTTGAGCAGGGCACCTAGGAGGGCCAGAAAGTCTCTTTTTCACATGCCTTAATGAACCCTTGCCATGACTTTAGTCACATCTATGTACTCTGACACAGTTTACAATGGTCCTTCTGCCTCCAGGGGGAGTAGCAGTGGTGAAATGCTACCGGTTCGGCCCGGTTCCATTGAACCGGTAGCAAAAAAAAAGCTCCGGCACTTAGCTGAGAAGTTAAAGAATAGAAAAGCACAGGATCGGCCCTCCCACCCACCCACCCCTGTGCTTTTCTGCTCTTTAACTTCTCAGCTGATTGGCACGGCAGAGCCTCAGCTGGTGTCTGGAAAGCTGCACATACATGTGTTAGGTGCGCGTATGCGCAAAGTGTGCGATCACTGAACCGGTAGGGAAACTGGTAGAATCCCACCACTGGTGAGTAGGGGGTGTGTCTAGACCAGCATTTCTCAACCTTCACAACTCTGAGTTGGGTGGACTTCAACTCTCAGAATTCCCCATCCAGCAGCATTCCCCCCCACTCCAATTCTACCTGTGAGCTTTGGCTCAGGTGGGAGATAGGAGGACCAGCTGGGACAGACCAATTGGTTCTCTCTTGGCTGCTTTGGGGAGCTCTTTGCTTTGCTGGGGGTTGCTGCCTTTGCCGAGTGCCCAGAGCCAAGTGGCGGTTGGTCCCCAAGGTGCTTTTTCCAAAAGGCAGCTGGATTTTCTGGGGGATTTTTTCCTTTCAGAACATTTCAGTTGATGTTAGTTGAGAACTTAAGGCTCCCATCAGCGTCTCCCAATTCAATGTCTTAACCCTCATTTGTGAGTGAGGGTCTAGGGAAGAGGACAGGCTTTAAGGAACTGTTCCTCACCGAGACCCTGGCCAGTTTAAGGCCCCTGGGGCACATCCGAGGCTGGGCAGTCTCTATCTAGGTGGACATCACCTCCAGGATTCACAGGCAGGCATGGAAAGGGGGGTGGGGGGAATTCTGGGACCCGAAGCCCAGCTTTTAAATGGAAAAATGCCAAGAGGACACTCAGATGATTTATGGACAGTTTAGGCTATTTCATTTTATACATAACTTTCTGTTGAGGGTATTTTGAGTGTCAAAGAAGATTTATCTGCTGATCAACCTGGCAATTTAGCAGTTGGGGTCTAGTTGTCCAGCTGCCTGTTGACATGTCTAACAAAGCAAAAAATGGGAGCCGTTCCACCTTAGAGGGGACCGTCACCGACTGATAAAACCAAAGCGCCTCCACTGAACAATTGGGGGAAATCTATTATTTGACCTTAAAAATAAGGGTCAGCTGAAAAGCGCCATCCCAGTTCACCTGCTCTCTTAAGGGGAAGCTCAAAGATCCCAGTTCGGAGCTGAGCAGGGGGACTTTCACTGGCAAATTCTGAGAAAATGCCACATTTCTGGCTAATCCTAATGTGTTATTCTTCCTTCCTTAAGGTTTGCTTTTCTCAGCACCAATTCAATTACAGATGCTACAAATCCTTCTGACATTTAATTCCTTCTTGTCAGACTGAGCAGTAAACGTAGATCCATGCACGGCGTTTTCATTAAGATGTTAATATACATCTTAGCCTGCTAGCATTTCTGCCCAGGTGCCTCCCAGAAAGAGGGACGGGAAACTGGGGGTAGACCTGTGCCCAGCGCTCTCTGCCCAGGGGCAACAGGGCAGCCAGCAGAGGGAAGGGAACCCCACTCTGGGGGGGGAGGGGGCGCCTACTCTGTGGGGCAGCAGCCTAGGCCATTCACCAAGCCCCCACATCATGGAATTTAAGCATCTGCTGTGCAATGGGCAGAAAACAAACCTATCCTTGACATCGGAGCCTTGACTTTGGGGGAGCAAACCAGGAGGCCCCCAGAGAACCCCACTGCAAGCTTACTCCGTGACCTCTGACTTGGGAGCAGGACCATTGGTGGCGATGCTGCCGCCTGGTCCTGAGCTGTGGCTCAGAGGAGCCTTGCGCAAAGCAAGGAGATGCTCCACAAAACTGGACAGCAGCAACACAACCACTGCTTTGGGGCTACGAGAACAGTGAAAGATGTTCTCCTATTTAACTGAGGATCAGGTCAAATCTTGGCTTTGCTTAGTACAGGGGTCTCCAACCTTGGCCACTTGAAGCCTGGAGGACTTCAACTCCCAGAATTCCCCAGCCAGCTTTGCTGGCTGGGGAATTCTGGGAGTTGAAGTCCTCCAGGCTTCAAGTGGACAAAGTTGGAGACCCCTGGCTTAGTACATGTTTTTTTTATCTTCTGTATTATTGGCATGTCTAGTGTAGAGAAAAGGCACACTCAGGGAACTGTCTTCTGCCAGCACAATGGTGGTTTTAACAGAAGACGATCTCCGTCACTCAAGGCTGAACTGCGGGGGTCCTTGGTGCTCTCTGAGCTCGGTCGTTCACTTGCTGGCGTTCCTTTACCTAACCAAGGAACACCATCAGTGTGAAGGAGGGTGATAGGAGTGAGAAGCGTGAAATGAAAATCCCCACGCTCACTAGTCTGGAAGATGATACCCTAGTTGGGTAAGGAAATGTCTGCAAGCAAATAAGTAGGCTCAGAGAGAACGCACCAAGGATGCCACAATTGTGATCTGGCCTAATTAAAAGGTTAACTGGACAACATTTTTAGGGGCAGGCTTTCCATTACCAAGTGAAGTATAGTTTTTGAAAGAGAATATCACACAGACATTCACAAACCCCCTGCTGCATTTCAAAAACTGACATAATTGTCATGACCCAGCCACAAATTTTTACAACTTTAACTACACACCTCCAAACTTCAGGTGTTTATCAACAATAAGAACCCATTTGCACCCAGAATTTAAGCTGAGATCTCAGAAACATGTTAGCTCTTCTAAGATTTCAGCTTAGCTAGCTTCATTTTCCCCACATTCTACTCCCAAAATTTAGCCCACAAAATTCTGCAAATCAGGATGGGCGAGAGTGCTTTCAAGAAGGCCCATTCCCAGTGGGTGAAATCATCTCAAAATATGTCCACTTTTAAAGAAACAAGCACTGTTTGCCCAGCTGAATGACAGGTTGCAAAGATTCACCTTCCTGCTTGGGAACGGGGAACTAAAAAGCAACTTCAGCTGAATCAATGCCGTTTCCACCCATTGGGGCCGATTCCTCCGTCTACACCTTGGACATTCCCCAAAGCTCAGGACTCTCGTCCTCCTCGGAATGAAACTGGAGCTAGCCATATTCTGAGCCCAAGGAAAATGGAGGAGGGCAGGACCTCGAGGCTTTAGGTTCACAGGAGACAGAGAAGGTCCTCCTAATAGAGAATGTGAAGAGCAGGCTGGGACCCTGGAAATCCCGGCTGCCTGGGACCCCACCGGCATCTCTAGTACCAGCTGTGTCAGTGACTGGGAAGGCTGGGAGAGGAAGAACAAGGCTGCCCGCAAACTGGGTGCCAATGGCACGGAGGGCTTCCAACCGTGTTTCCTCCTCTTGCTCTCCATAAGCACCGGCTGCAAACACCTTGGCATTGCGGTTGATATGCGGAATACCCAGGGCACAATAGAAGCCGAGCACTTAAGGAGCCCAGGATATTTTATGGCTGCGATTTAGCTCTCGTGCTCTGCAGGGTCTCATTTTCTCCTGCTAAGTTATGTAGACCCAGGTGTTAAAGGCTTCTCTTTAGGGAGCGGGAGGGGCAGCGCCAGACCAACCGGCCTGGAGTTCCTCCCAACTGCATTTGTGCTGTAAAAGCAAAAGGCTGATGGATGGTTACTGAGTGGGCTCAGCGTGGCTGTTAATTGTGGCAAATTTAGATTTAAGGCTCCCTCTTACAGAAGTTTTAACAGTTCCTGTTGTAAAGGAATGTTCCAAACTGCCATTCTATTGCATGTGCGCCCCCCCTCGCCCCCCCCTCCAGGCTGCAGGGCCATCCATCAGCATCGCAGCAAGGGCCCGGCCGGGAGTGATGCTGGGTGGTGGTGGTGGTGGTGCAGCGGCCTCCTTCACCCTTGCAGAAACACTTCGGTTTCCTCACCACTGGAAATGCCCAAAGGCAGACGAGGCCCCTCTGACTCTCTTTGGCCCCCCAGCAAAGTCTGCCTCGCACAAGGGAAGCTGGTGGCAAATCAAACCGTCCAGGAGGAAAGGTGGCCTTTGAGACCGGAAGGACTTCTTCCTACCCCAGAATCTGGAGAGAGTGGAGGGGCCGAGACCCCCCACCCCCCAACTGCAGCCCTGGAGGTTTTCCTGCCTCGCCTACACAGCACACCAACCCCACCCCAACTAAAGAAAGGGCAGCCTTGCTTCAGGCAAGGCCAAATCTACATCCTTCCCTTCTTCTGACGGGTGCAGCTCCCAGATTCTGCCCTGCTGGGAACCCCTGGGAAAACCCCTGCGAGGGACCCCCACGGCCACCTTTCTGCAGCCGGTCAAAGCTGGTATCCAACCCAGGTTCTCTGGGCTTCTTCTGCAGCCTGACGAAGAGAGACCCGATTCAACCTCTCCCTCTCCCTGGAATTCAGAGATCGGCTTCCAGAGACCGACTTATGCAGCTCAGGGCAGCCGTGGGGCCTCCGGAGGGAGCCTCGCTTTCTGGAGCGGCTCAAAGCTTGACTGACGGCCTCATTTATGGTGATAACTCAGGAATGTTTATTCCCATGATAGCAATCCAGAAAAGGGGATGCCGCCCCTCTTGGCTGCCTGGCATTATTCATTAGCCCGGTTTATCCCCTCACCTTCTCTAATTTAGTGATGGGCTATTTAAACCCAGAGTTTGTCTTGTAATATAATTGAATTTGGTCTCTAATTTAAGCGAGTGAAATTCAAGGAGTTCATCCTTCCCCAATCAATACGTTCCCCTTCAGTGACCCATTTCAAGATAGCTTCATAAAAAATAATGTATTTTGTTTTAATAAATTTAATCGCTATGACAGGTGCTCAATTTTTATTGGCTGCTTTTCCAGACATCTCTTTTCCAAAGCCATGCTTGCAATCAATAGTAATTGATTAATCAGCATCCCCTATGAACAAAGGTGCTAATCAGTTTTTGATTAGTTAATCAAACTACACGGGTCCCCTTTGATTGTGCCATGCTCTACAACCTGCAGAAAAGGGAAGGAAGCTCTCGGGGCTGCATAAACAGGAGCCCACTCAGTCCCTACAGAAACGGGAAAAGAATGGAAGGATAACCATCTACAAGGCAGGAGAGACGGGAGGCCTTCTTAGCCGGGATTGGCAGCTGCTGATTAGGAGATAAAGCACAAAGCAGAACACGCTGCTGCTGCTGCGGCTGCTGCAGAGGGGGGGCCGGCCCCCGCCCTCCGCACTACGGGCTCAGGGCAGCGTCCTGTGCAAAGCAAAGGGCAGGCATTAAGGTGGGAGGGGCGGGCTTCTCGCCCACCCCCTTTCCTGGCAGGCGGGCCATTTGCTGTAAAGGAATAAAGCCAGGATAGGCAATTAATGTGCGGGCTGGGTGGGCAGGTGAGGAACCCACCTCCTCCTCCTCCTCCATTCCACTGATGGGGCAGGTGGTCATGCCAAGCCCAGCCCCCTCCCCCCCCCAGGTGCAGCAACCTGCAGGCTCCCTCCCCCCTTTTGACAAAATAATCCACATTTCAAGGAGAAAAAGGCTTCCAATGAGGAGTCAGAATCTCCTCCCCTCAACAACAACAACAAACCTTGCAAATCCCCATTTGTTAGGCAATTTCTCCCCCGCCCTTAAACCTTCTGGCCACTGGGGCTGAGATGCCCCCACCTTGGCCAACCGAGGCTGCTCGGCTTCTGGGAAGAGGGAAGGGTCGGCTCGGGGTAAGGGGGGAAGACGGCCCCCCCAAAGAGTCCAAAGGGCCGGGATGCTGCGGAGGGTCACAACTGTGGAGGTTGCTGGGAGAAGCGGCCGGATGCAAAGGAGGCATGGAGCAGATGCAGAAGACAACCACCACATGGAGGCCAGCCCTTACCTGAGAGATCCCCATAGTCCAGCTCTTCGGCAGTATTGGGCAACTGAGTAAAGCCTTACAAATAAAAACAAACTCAGGTTTCTCTGGGTTCCACAGGGCAAGAAAAACAAAACACTTAAGAACAAGAGGAGGACGGTCTCCCAGAAGTCATTGGCCACCTGACTCGAGTTGGCCTTCAAAGGAGGCCAATTTCCATCAGAGATGCATGCGCGTGTGTGTACATCCACATATATAAACACACATGCAGGCAGATCTCTCATGTCTTTTGAATCTACAAGAAGACCAATACAGAGTCAGGAGAGGGTTAAAAAAAACTTGGTCTGCTCTATTGGAAAAGCACAAAGCACAAAGAGGAACATTCAAAGCCACTCGCCCGTAAATACATGCAAAAGGCATTTCCCCAACTTGTCTCACTGCAAAATTTCCCAGGATGAAGGAGGGTTGGTTCTTCTAACAAACCGCTCCCGTTTAGATGCTTAACGTGTGGCATGTTTTTTTTCCAGGTTTCTGTATACGTGTCTGTCTTGTGGCCAGGCCACTTATCAATATATATATATATATATATATATATATGGGCTGTATTTTCAAAACAACAGGTTTATAATTGGGGTGAGTTGGGTGTTTTTACGGGAAATGTTTTGGAAAAATCACCAAGGGTCTGTTGCTTAGAAAGTCATCTCAAAGCTAATAAAGTATGTTGGTTTGGGGTTTTTGGGTGGGGGTGGGGCCCAGAAACTTCCTCCAGCTTTCCTGAAACTACCTTGTTATCGAAACTTGAAGTGTGTCTGCTTAGACAGGTGACCCTTCCCTAGTTTTGAAATGGCTGTTTGATGGGGATGCATTTCAGCTCAAGGTTATGGAAGGGAGAAGAGTGTCAAGGTCTGTGGATCTCCCACAAAGACAACGTGTCTGTTTGGAGACAGAGACAAGGGACCAGGGGAAGAAAAACCCTGGGAGAAGAGAAGGTGGACGGCGGAGTCAGTCACCTCCACCTCGGCCTCTCTCGCCTCCAAGAGGAACATTTTGAGGGCATGTTATGAGTTGACAAATGACAGGCGACTCTTTTCTGTTTCCTTCCACTTCCCAACTCTGCAATGTTCAAGTTGGTCCTAGGAGACCTTTCCCCGCTGAACTGAGGCTGGTGTTGACAAAGGTAGAGGCATCTCTGCGGCACAATGTAGGCTGTCAGCTGGTTAACTCGTTTTTTTGTTTTTTGTTTTAAATTTTGGGGCTTTGCTGGGCATTCAAGTTTCAGTTGCTGACTTGAAGAGTTAACTTCAAGAAGGAGGCTACCTCCTGGCCACTGAACATGGCAAGACTACAGGAGGTCGGCTATCAATGCCGCCACCAGTTTAGCTGCATCGATAGCCTTGTTTACAGCCAAATGGTCCTTCTTCTGGGAAAACAAGGAGATCTTAGATTCTTACGGCTTTGTGCACTGTGGCAGGGAATGCATCTAGGAACCCGTTGGCTTCGACATTGAACTGTCACCTTGGAGAGCGGCTTCATAGATAGATACTCTAGTCTAAACTGTGATTGTGAAGCGCTCTAGACTGGTAACCCATTCCTGCACACTCCAAACTCTAAGGAGATGCATCAGCCCCAACTAACAAGTGGCCACCCACACCCATTTCTCTTACTGGTGAAATCAGGCCATCTTACAGTTCTGGGGTTTGGAGAAAGATCTTTGTAACTTCAGCCTTCAGCACTCCTGTGAACGAGAAGGCCTCCCTCCCTGCTGAAGATTATTGTCAGCCCTTTCAATGCTGAAGGCCTTGGAATGGTTGAGGAGTTACTCGCTTGGCACAACTTAGGGGTAACATCTCCAAGTTCCACCATCAGAAACAGGCAGACTTGTGATGAAGATGTCAGTAAAAAGAGAACAGAAGCACTGAAGACTCATGTGCTTCTGCCTACACATGGGTCACTTCATTGGCAAGGGCAGAGTTGCCCTAAACACATGGTACGTTTCTGTTCATCTGTAGGGGTTGGGCAGGCTTGGATCTTAGATGGTCCATTACAATCAGTAATCCCAGTGCTGTCTATCTTACTGGTTCTGGCTTCTAACTAGCTCCTGGGGAGGATCTAGTTTGGGTGAGCTAAGCGTCTAGACTTGATCAATTCCCTGCTTAAGGGGAGAAAGCTTTAAGACTAATGAGCTATTTAAATATATGGATTTGGAGCAAACTGACTTAAGATCACATTATTTTCAGGTTGTTTTCACTGTCAGAATTTTTTTTCCTGAGTCATAAAAAACGGGCAAAGCTGCATCTTTTACAAAGCAAAGGAAATTGAATAGTTCAACTTTTTTCCCACATGTCAACAAATGTTTGGAGAAATAGTCAAGATGGATCTTAAAAACATGTCACACAAATGCCTTGGCTTCTTTTTTTAATTCGCTTGACTATTTAAAGTCTTTGTGCTTCGTTTTTATAAGAAAGCATTTGGATATTCTTGCAATCTTTCTGGATAAATGAAAACTCCTTTCACCATATGGATTTAAAGAAGTGAAAATCAACCGAAGAGGGAGGGCAACATTGAAGCGTTTGGACTGAAATGAGAGAGCCGTTTTCCTTTGGCAGATATCTATTTGCCCACCGTGATTCCTCCTGCTTCCAGAATTGATCTGAGAGCAGCAATCAATTTTCCCTCCTTTAAAAATTTAAAAGAAAAATTAAGAAAATATTATCCTGAAATGTGTTTATGGCATGAGTCTGCAGAGCTATTAAATAATGCAAATACACTTATTCAAGTTTCCAGACAGGATATAAAACAGCTGGTTAACATCTAAATAAGAAAGTGGCCTTGATGGGACTCCGCAGCGGAGAAGCCATACATTCAAACATAAAGGTAGCCCTGCTTAGCCTGGATGGAAATTAGCAGAGGGGACCCTTTCAAACAGCTCTGGTTTGAGTGGCAGAAATCAGGGGATCACTGAAAAATGATAAATAGAAAATCACTTCTGAGATTTAAAACCAGGACTTTGGGGCAGCTTATAACCATATAAAATGCAATGCAAATCAGTGTAACAATCAATTAAAGGAGTAATCCATGTCTTGATTTAAACAGGTGCTAAAAGTAGTGAGTTAAAGTTATGGAGTATGGTACCTCTGTTGCTTCTTAATTCTCGAAGGCCAGTTGGAAGACCCAACTCTCCACCTGATTCCAGATGGCCCTGAGGGTGGCAGTCTGAAGTAGAGGGGCTGCTATGGAGAAGACCTGCTGGTGGGCTTCCTAGCAGACATCCCTTCCCCAAGCCATAAGGGGCTTTCCAGGTAGTGACTGGCACCTGGGACTGCACTCAAAAACCTCCTACAATAGTGTGACTGAACACCATGAAATGTCTTGGATTAGCTGGAGGGTTGTTGCTGTTCTTTTGATGAGGGAGGCCTTCCAGGGCAGTCTCACGTAGAGCAAGTTCCATCACCCTAATCTAGAGATAACAAGGCCATCTCTCTTTTCAGGTAAGGCCAAGGTTGGTGGGCCAGCTAAGGCTCTACCAAAGCTCCCCACGCTCTTCAAACCAAGCCATGAAATCAGGAGGAAAGCAGAGCTGCACAACACATCAAGAGTCAGAGATGGTCAATGGGGCAGCCTCCACATTGCAACAACGGCTCCCCCTCTTCTTTGGGTTGAGTTATGACCAAGCAAACTGGGTGCTTGACATTATAGGTCTAAGCCACTGCAGAGCCATGACTCCACTTAATCTCCACCCCCAGGTGGCCCTAGACAGAGTAAGGCAAAGTGTCATCTTCATTTCTGCGTGAACCTGCCCAAGTGAAGGGCAGGAAGCCAAGTCTAAGCCATCGCCTTCTAAGCTGCTCTGGAAGTTCTTGCTATAAACAAGGGCCACATGTAACCACCTCAACCCAGACTCCAGCTAAGGGCCTGATGAATTAATTATGCTGGCAGAAGGTCACTGTGAATTGTTTCAGCTTATATTCGTTTCAATTTGCCAGCTCATAAACTTGGCTAAGTCTGGGTTTAGTCCTCAGTCTAGGCAGTGTTTCTCAACCTTGGCGATTTTAAGATGTGTGGACTTCAACTCCCAGAATTCCCCAGCCAGTTAGAATTCTGGGAGTTGCAGTCCACACATCTTTCAAGTCACCAAGTTTGGGAAACGTTGCTCTAAAGCAGAGGTCTCCAACCTTGGCAACTTTAAGACCTGTGAACTTCAACTCCCAGAATTCTAACTGGCTATGCTGGCTGAGAAATTCTGGGAGTTGACGTTCACATGTCTTAAAGTTGCAAGGTTGGAGACCCCTGCTCCAAAGGATCTTCCTGTGTGATCAATTGCTTGATCCTGCTGCAAAGTTACTATTTAATTATATTTGATTGGACAGATAGAGCATTATTTCATTTTTCCTCCCCTCCTCTTTTTTTGCATGGGCTTTTTTTTAAAGGACGGTCTATGACATTATTATGGCCTATTGTAGCTGTTGAAATTTAATGGGTTTACACACAAATACAATCCACAGCACAAGCTTCATTTTTCTGCCTTCTGCTCCTAGTTGGCTTCATCGGCTTTGAGAATGACGTGGAGTTTCTTCACTTATGGAGATTGGAGTTCTGAACCTGCTAGCTGACAGGGGTCCCCAACCTTGGCAACTTTAAGGCTTGTGGACTTCAACTCCCAGAGTCCCTCAGCCAGCAAAGCTGTCTGAGGAACTCTGGGAGTTGAAGTCCACAAGCCTTAAACTTGCCAAGGTTGGAGACCCCTGTGCTAGAACACTAAAATTTAAATGGAGTGAATTTATAGGCTATGGAGTTTAGGACAATTAGGAGAGGAGGAAGAAGTTTTGAGGGACGCCAGGTTCTCCTAAAGGCCACAATTAATAGGAGCAGTTGAGGGAGAGGATCACACAGCCCTCCAGCACCCCTAACAGGGTTTCTCCACTTTTATGGGGGAGGGGGGCTGCACAGATGCTGCCTGCCTGGGTGGGGAGGGCTACACCTGGCCTCGCCACAGGGAGCTCTTGAGAGCTCCGGGCGTATTTCCTCTCTTTGTCAAGGGTGTCATTGAAATGCAGATTGGGTTTTAAAAGGGCGCTCCAGTTCTCATTGCAGGCACTGAGAGGTCGCTGAGGATAAAGGGCACAGGAGCACCGTGTGCGGAAGGGAGAAAAGCATTCCAGAGCGAGAAAGGGTCCCTGGACCTTTCTGGGAATACTAAGTATGTTCTGGGAAGCAGCTGGATAAACAAGCCTTTCTCCTCATTCAACCGATCTGGAGGAGTGAATTGGTCCAAAAGAGGCATCTGAAAAGATGAGGGAGAGTGAAGCGGAGAGGAGAGCTGGGAAGGGCGGAGGAGTCCGGAGCACGTTTGGACCAGAGTTCTGGGGCAAGGAAGGCAGCCGGGAAAGGTCAGAGACACATACAGAAATCTGGAAGCATGGAGTCCTTGGCACCAGGGAGAGGGAAGAGTTTCCGTGCTTTAAACTTGCCATGCATTGCTGTGGGTCAGCCCCGTGTGGTGAGGGAGGGTCTGGCAGTGGGGGCTGCAGTCCTGCATGCACAAACTCATCTCTTCTCTGGGACGGGCTCCCCTAAGAGGAAGGGAAGAGGTGGGAGGGAGGGAGGGAGGGAGGGAGGGGCAGGGCCAAGCAGCTTGCTCCCTTCCCGGCACCCTGGAGCAGGCGCCTTCTGGGGCTGTCCTCTAACCTGGGCTGCTTTGGGAGGAGTTCCCTGGGTTCCGGGGGGGGGGGGGGGACGGACACGCCCATCATGCATTTCTCCCCATCCACAGACATGCTGATGCTTATTTGGACGCTGGTCAGGACAGAATGGCCAACACGCACAAGAAACACCCGATCAACTCCAGACACACTCCGGCAATGCAAGCTTGGAAGGAGACGGCGAGGAGCTGAGGGTGGGGGGGGGGGGGGAAGAGCCACCTTGCTAAAGAGGGTCTCAAGGAATCCCCCTCCCCCCCCATTTAAGGCAGAAAGTGCAGGGTGAGTAAGTTTGCAAATTGGAGAGTGAGGGAATGTTGGCCAATGATACTCGGAAACGACTGACTGCACCTCAAAACAAAGGCAACCGTTTCTGCTCCTTTTCCTTGTATCTGATCTTCCTTTTGTAGGCAACGATTTGCTTCTCAGAGGCTTCCAAACAGAGTAAATGACTGCAAACCAACGTATTATTTAAAGCCAACACAGATGGTTTCTAGGATCCCTGCCATGGGACAGCTGGTGGTCATGGTGGGGTAAAGGAGTCCCTGTGGATTTTACTCCGCCAGTCCTTGCCGGCTATAGGAGAGTGGTGCTCATCTCAATATCAAGGCCATTGAGCCAGCAGTGTCTGAAGACATTTCTGCAGTCACGTGGCCAGCATGACATCACAGCACACTGTGACCTTCCCACCAAAGTGGTACCTATTTATCTACTCGCATTTGCATGCTTTCGAACTGCTAGGTTGCAGGAGCTGGGGTGAGGATGGGAGCTCACCCCTTTGTGTGGCTCTCGGGTCTCAAACCTGGACTGCCAGCTTTCCAACCAACAAGCCCAGGATCTTAACCACTAAGCCATCGCACCGCCGTCTTTGGTGATCATGGATCCATCTATTTATTTATTAAATTTATATGCGGCCTATCTTGCTATCCAGAATGATTCATGACACAGACTGAAAATCCCAATACTGAGATTTTTCAGGTCAGCGCCTCTCTAACTTGCTTTGTTTTATTCTGTTCTTTAACTTGATCTGAAATATTTCTTTGCCACACGGCTGAAAAACCGAAGTTGGAAGACTCTCTTTTGATGGTGGAAGCATAGAAATGGCCCCAGGGATCTGGTGCCCAGGCTCCTCAACTATTTCGTGTCTCACATTACAAGGCACCATCAAATGAGAGGCAATCACAATGGCACAATTTGTGCTGCTGTACATAATGGCAGCTCTTCAAGAAATAATGGCTTTCTCTGGAAGAAGCAGCAGGCAGTTATTGGGCAAGCTAAAATAACTCCGAAAAGGAATGGGCAATGAATCATCCCACTTTGTCCATAATACCGAGATGGTCACAAGAGAGACTTGCAGACTCTGATAGAATTTTGCTTTCTGTTGAAAAAAACAGAAACTTTGAAAAAACATTGGTTCAACAATAGATAATTTGCTACTTTTCTGGATTTCCACTCAAACTGTCCGATGCAAACAACCTCTCATGAATAAGGAAAGTCAGTAACTTCATTGTCTAGCACCTATATTACAAGAACCCCACTGGGAAGGGCGAGACAAGGCTTCATGGCTCTTGGGGGAGTTAAAAGTGTATGCTGCTTGTCCCTATGCAAGGACTCCAAGCTAGATCCTCGCTTGATCTCTCCTTCCAGCCTAGCTGGCAGTTTCCCAACCCAAAGCCAGGCTAGCTAATTGGAAAAGACTGCTTAAGACTCCTGGCAATCTTCATGAATTTTCAATCTTTCAGCTGAATGATCACGGAATATGTATCTTTCCTGGTAAAATAAAATTGGGAACAGACATCATTTAGAAGCAGAGCATAGCTTTGCTGTGGAACAAGGCTAAATTTCACGATTTCTAACAGCAAATGTACTACTCAGAGGAGTACAGCCGCCCTCCTCCGACGAGCCACCTGTATTAAGGCAGCTTCTGACGAAGTCAACAATGAAATTCCACTGGACCAGCTGAGACACAAACTCCACCGAGTCTGATCAGGATTCTTAACCTGTACATATACAACCAATGTTCTCTTTTATTCTTCCCGACAGTTATTCTAATGAGCTGCCAAGCTAAGTGTCTCTTAAGACAGAAGGGGAGCATTTTTAGCCATAAATGCAGGAGGCCTATTTTAACTGAAGCACAGTCATCTTAATGAATTAAAGTCGTTTCTCCGGTATTTGTTTCACTCTGGCTAAGACCCCCCAATATCCTCCCACTTGGAAAATTGACACTCGGGTGAGGAAGCTGTCCAAGATCGGCGGAGTATCAACTTTGGAAAGAGGAAGAGAGGCGTGAGGGAGCCTGCCTCACTCATCGGTCCTGAACCAGGGATGGCAGCCCACGTGGGAGCCAGCCTGCGGCTGAAAGGTTCAGGTTGTGTCCCTGCCTGGGGGATGTGGAAGTTTCACACTTCTCTGGTGGACCTCAGGAAATCACCAAGACATGCAGGGAGGATATTAAAAATGAAAGTGGGGCCCTGATTCCTTTTCTGATGTATCCTGACGCTTCTGCAGGTGTAGGGAAGTGGCCGTGTGGAGTGCAATTGAACGCCTGCAGAAGAGACCAACCTGGGCCCCTTTTCAGGCCTTAAAAACCAGGAGGGGGGGGGGCTGAGACCAGCCCTTTTGGGAAGGTGGCTCTCCCCTGCCCCAATTTCCTCTCAGCCCCTCCCCGCTCCTCGCCCCCCCTTTTCTCCCAGGCTTGCCTTGCCCCCTCAGCTCAGCCCAGCAAAAAGAGAAAAACAGGAATGCAATACCAACCGTGAACTGCCGGTTCTGTCGCCGCCGTTGTGTCTACACACGGGAACAGAGTTTGGAGGAAGGGAAGAAACAGGAGGTACAGCATGCAAAAAAGGGAAATGGAAAAAAAATGGAACAGATCATATATGAGAGCAAGCTTTCCAAGAACTTTGCGTGACGAGCAATCATAAAATGAAAGGCCAAAGCATTTGAAGTGAGTTGCACTGTTTTAAGAGGCATGCCTTGCGCTTTTAAGCCGGGAGCCTAGAGGGGGAGGGGGGGGGGAAGACCCCTGGGATGCCTGGCATCCAGAGGGTGGCAACAGCGCTGCTTTCTGGCGGGGGCGCATGCAAAGCTGAAGAGACCCCTGCTCCCCCCACCCACCCACCCAGGGAAGCCGAAAGCAGCTCCAGATAGAGACGGGGGGGGGGGGGGGGGGAGTCCTCTGAAGGCTTTGAACATTCAAACACTGCCTCTGCGGTGGGCTTGGCTCCTGGAGGGTCCACGGCCTCCGTCCCCTTCCCCAGACGCAGGAGGGGCAGGAAGGCCCCCACCGCTGCCTTCTGGCAATCCCAGGCTGTGGCGGGAGAGGAGCTTTGCCTCCAGCAAGCCAGGCAGAGATGAGGGAGGGGGACAGCAGGTGCCATCTTGGCAGAGGGGGAAGAGGGGGGTCCTGCAAAAACCAACCCCCCTCCGCTCTCCAAGCTTTCGCCGTTTCCCGATTGCTGTGGTTGGCACAACGAAGCAGGGCCAGAGTTCTACAGGACAGGTCCGTTTGGACACCAACACACACGTCCTTTTCCCAGAGTGGGTGTGGGCGAGCGGGAGACGTTTTGGAGAGCCAGGCGGAAGGGGATCAGATAATCGTGAGTGTCTCTTGGGGTGTCAAGATCACAATACAGTTCTTCGCAGGGGGCTTTGTTCTCCGGGGACCACCACCCCTGATACCCACCCTCCAGATAGTCCTGTAGCTTTGGGGGGTTCAACATAGCAACCCCCAAGGTTGCCTGGAGTTTGCTCTGCACCAGGGTGTTTGAAGAGTTACAGCTTACGCTGGAGGTAGTGCTGGCTTGGCCTGCCTTGCTGACTGGTCAGCCCATCCTTCTACTCTCTGAAACCCGGTCCTAAAACATCACACAGAAGCCGGACGTGGCACGGGCTGTTTCAACAGCACCAAACCACGACGGGGGTCTTCAGCAGCTTCTCTGCTCTCTCGGTGCGGCTCTGTTGGGTGACATTGTCTCCCGACACAATCCTAATCCCCTTGTGCAGATCCAAGGACCTGCTGAGGGACCCCCAGAGGCTTTCTCGAGTCAGCAGAGGCAATGTTGAAATGGAAAAAGCGGGTCTTCGTGCAATGTGCTGCAACGCACAACTGAGCCTACAAACGACCTCCCACTTTGGAAAACGAGGAGGGCAGGGTGGTGTTTCGACCACGGTCACCTTTCCGAGAGTGGGTTGGCCTTCCCAGAGCAGGGCCAGGGCAAAACATAAACCAGTATCTGGACTACCCCAGTGCTGGTGGGGCAGGACCAGGAGGCATCATACTTACAGATGGAACCTTCTAATAGGTTTGATGTTGACAGAAGACCAGCTCTTCTGCCCAACTAAAAGAGGCATCTGGCCCAAAGTGACATGCCTGCAATTCACCGACAAGCTGCCTGAGACTCCCTTCTGCCACAGACACGTTTTGAAGGGTTCCAGGGTATCAGGAGATGTTCTTATGCAGGGAGCTCAAGCCAAGCCAGAGCAACAAACTACCCCAGGGCAGTGCAAACAACACGGGAAGCTTGGGGTTGGCCCTCTCTTACCACCATGGCCTGGCCAAGGCAGCCTTCCTAGGAAGGGCACCCCGAGGGCTGTGTGCAGGTGCGGGCTGGGGGGTCAAGACAGAGGGGTTGGCCCAGCTGAGTCACCTGAGCTGGGCCTTCTGTTCTGCAATTTGGAGGCGTCTCCGTAAGGAACCCCGTGTGCCCTCCTGGGGGGGCTGCAGGAGACGCCAAACCCTGCAGGAATCAGGACCCCTGTCTGTGCGCTGGAGAAAGAGGGTGGGTTAAGGAGCATGGTTCCATGCTCACAGTGCAGCTCGCTTTTCCTGTCCAGGGACAGAGCAGGAGACAAAGAAGCACAAGTGGGACACAAAAGTTTCAAGCGGTTAAGGCGAACAAACACTCCAAGTCAAACAACATCATGTTGGCTGCAGCTGGAATGGCAAAGTTGCGATTAGATTGTGGGGGGGAGAGATGGATGAGCCACAGCGATAAAAGGGGCCTCGGCCTCTCCGGGCAAGGCAGCCCCTCCTACAGCCCTCCTACTTCAACGCTGCCTCTGCCTGGCGAAAAGAGGGAGAGGCGCTGAGGGAAAAACCCGTATAAGGCACTTTCCGGCAACGCAAAGGCAACACACCGCACAACGCAGGCCTCCTTCTGAAGTGTGAAACCCAGCACCCGTTTCAGTCTTTGGAAAGAGCAGCAAGAAGCAGCTCGAATTCCAGAGTAATTGCTGGGCGGGTGGTTTCTGCCTCCTCCACCCAACTATGCAGGACCGAAGTGGGAAATGCTAGAAGGGTCCAGGCCTTTCGGATCATTATTTTTTAACTAGGTTGGGAAGAGGAAATCACTAACAGGCCCCCCCCCCCCCGCCATTCCCCACCCCACCCCTGAGACAGCTTAGCAATATTCACGGGGAGCCGTGGAGCTGAACCTGCTTTGCGGCAGAGTTTGGTCTGTTCAGATGGCTTCTCTCCAACTTAAAATTGTTCACTGAATGTGACAGACTGAGGGTTTAAAAACTAATCCATAAAATTAGTCCAAAGTCTCCCGCAGAATGGATTTTTAAAATGAAAATGAAAACCCAAGGACGCATTTTTTAATAAACGCCCTAAACGTTTGCACAAGCAAAGCCTGGCGGCCTCTGGAAATTGGGTAGAAGGAGTCGGAGGAGGCCTTGAAAAACTGCCTGGCCTTCGGTTGCCCACCCCTGTTTTCACGCAGCAGCCCCAGGACAAGGCGTTGGTTGGATCCCACAGTAGGCCCAGGCTGATGGGCACGGGAGCACCCCGCAGACACGGAGCCAAGTCTCCTCCCCAAGATCTGGGCCCAATGCCGCGGGAAGATCACCGTGACAGAACAAAATGACTTTCGGCAGAGATAACTCGGCTCGGATACGAACCTTATTGAATAATTCTGTATGTATTAAATTTTATTTATCTTACTGGATTTTGGATCTGAGGATCTTGCAATATATCGTCGTTTTGTTTTGAACTGGGCAGTCCCCCTTCTAGGCACCTCACCCAAGATGGAAAATCTGGAGCCCACCCAAGCATCTTAGAAGCAGAGCAGGGTGGAACCTGGTTTCTGGGATTGTGAAGGGTGGTTGGAAACCTGCATTCCTATTTTGCCTTTGTTCTGGGTTACATTTCAGGGAAACTCAAGAATGGCTCAGTTCACACCAGAAGGTGGAAAGAAAAGAGCCGTGCAAGAGACGGAGAGAGGAAGAGGGATGGAGGCCAGCAGATCTGCAGTCCAAGTCACCCGAGCGTGTTGAGAGACCGGATGTTTTGTAAAAAATAATCAGGATCGGTTTAGGAATTTTGTGTAGCGCAGAAAATTATTGTTATTATTATTATTTGAAGCACGGCAAGCACACAGGGGGCTGTGATTTAATGCTTCACCCTTCTCCGCTCTCCTCACCAGCTTCCTTCCCTAGCAAAATGGGAACCGTCTTGCATCAGCAAGAAACCACACCTCGGAAGGGTTGTTTAATCAAAGGTCTCCTGCATAAGCACCCAAGTGCACTGAAGCCTCGCTCAGCTCTTTGTCTCCCTCCCCGCCCCCCCCCCGCCCAAAGTGCTAAAGTGGATGTCAGGGCAATTTGCATTTGCTGTGCTAAGCAGGGCTTCCCGAGGGGATCCAGGTGGGCTCCCTTTTGCTGACGGAGCGCTGGAGGCCCCTGGAGGTAGAGAGCCTCCTTAGATACACGGGAGCATCTAGAACCACAGGCAGGTCAGGCCAACTGGGGTGCAAAAGGAGGAGAGCAGTGCTCAGCTGCGGCCAGCATGGAGGAGTTGGGTTTGGGGTGGCCTGTGTAGGCGCTGAAATGTGCGCTTTGGATGTGGGGTCCCTACGCAGAAGGCGAAGGTGGGCCAAGCTGGGCTTCTTCTGGGCAGGAGGAGCTTGGGAGCAGCTTCCTTGGAGAAGAACATCGGAGGCTGAGAGGGAAGGCAGAGAAGAGCCAGAGGCCAGTGCATGAGCTGCGCAAGGGAGAGAAGGAATGGCTTCTCCCACCAAAATCCCTCCAGATTGCTAAAACCTTCTGGGTTTTGCTTCTGATGGACTCCGCCTGACGCAAACTTTCCTTCTCAGGTGCAGCAACCGATTTCAGGTTGGACGTAAAACCTGCACGCACCTCGGCGCAAGAAGACAAGACGCCAGCTGAGCTCAGTGGCACAAACGTTGCCGCTTCGGGAGGGAGCCCCCCCGAACCCCCCCCCCCTTTTGATGTGGTTGCAGGAGAGGCTGGAAAGGTCAGGCAATCGCAGGGACCACGCTAAATTAACTTGACATTTTACCAGAGGCACAAGAAGCCAACGAAGAGAATAAATAACTGGGGAGAACTACATCTTTTCCCCTCCATCTGGGAAATGGTGCTGGAGACTTTGCCCCATTGTGCACGACGTAATAACAGGAAGTGATGGGCCTTATCCAAAGATCTTGGCTTGGGGGGGGGGGGGGGGAGAGGGGCGGGCTGGTTGGTCGCTTCCTGGAGAGAATCCAGGACATTAAAAGGTAGTTCTTGGCTAACGACTGCAACTGGGACTGGATCTTTCGCTGTGGTTGTTAAGCGACCTCTACCCAAAGTGACCTCTACCCAAAATACAATTGCATTTTGCCCCAGCCGTTAAGTGAATCAGCATGCTGGTTTGCCCCTTTGGGATGATGACCTGGGCAACTGGGAGCCTGTGGAGTGAAAGGGGAACCTCTACCATCCCTCCCGGCCCCTGCGCAGCGCCTGAGAAAATCAGAGACTCAGCCTGACTGGAATGGGTGCAGGCGGGTTCCTACGGAGGTTTTCAGACAATACGCCCTTTGCTGAAAGGGGAGGGGGCTGCACGGGAAGGTAAGAGCAGCAGCAGACCTCCCAGCCTCTCAGGCAGGCGTTCTTCCTAGCGAGCCCTGCATAAAAGGTGGGTAATTATGCTAATTTCATTTGGAGAATGGTTTCCGTTATATAAACCTTCAGCACAAGGGAAGAAAATAGACTCCCGGAGTTTTATGCTGCCACTTAATCACCGGTGTTTGCCTGTGGAGGCTTTTAAGGCTAATGGGTGGCTCCGAGTTCCACAGAAATTCATTTCTGTAGCCATTTGGCAGGAGACAATACACCCAAGCAAATTTAAGCAGGCCACCCACTCCCTGGCAGAAAAAAAGGAGGAGGTCAGGATTTGGTCCCCTCACCTTTCCTCTGTTTGGAGAGAGAGAGAGAGAGAGACTAAGTTAAATTCCAGGCAGGTGATATCAAGGCTTCCCGATAAGATAAATACATACACAGTTTGTCTACTAAGACACAGCAACGCGGCAAGATCCTATCCATCAAAAGAGGGGATCTGACAAAATTGCTCGAGTGGCAATCTCAGCTTAACTGCGCCTCGGCGCCAGATGGTGTGTTGCAACAAGAGTGTTTTGGGGCTGAAAGGAGGAAGGACGAAGACGGACAAATCCTTGAGATGGGAGCCACACGGGCCGAAGACTAAGGGGCCTTTTGGGAACGCTCACGGGGACATATTTTGGGGGGTGGGTGAGTGCTTAAAAGGGAATTCCAGGACCAATTACCAATAGAAGAGAGAATTTGTAGCTCAGGGTTGAACTGTGGGGTCCCTGGTGCTCTCTGAGCTTGGTTGGTTTTTTTGCAGACATTTCATGACCCAACTAGGGAACATCACCAGTTGTAAAAGTGGGATTTGCTTTCTTCTAATAGATAAATAGCTTGCCCTGTCAGTTGGTGGGGGTGATCTTGGTGGTCCCTTAACAGCCTAATCAAGGAACTCACAAGAACACACCACCACCACCAACAGGCAAGCGGTGATGTATCAACAGAGAGTCAACCCCACTTCTTCTAGCCCTGAGATTGTTACCTAGTTGGGTAATGAAACAATGGCAAGAAAACAATCAAGCTCAGGGAGCACAAAGGCCTCCAAACAATGAGGTGACCACAACTGGGCGGTGCAATTGGCCTCGTGCTCTCTTGTCTGTGTTGCCGGAACAGCCCTGTCGAATTATCAGTTCCTAATCAACAAGATTGATTTGTATTTCCCCGCCTTTCCCACTGCAGGCTCTTTAAATATGTCCACTGGGAACTAGAACGCAAAGGATGGGCCACCCTCCGGCTCCTTCATCCAGACCCTCCCACCGGCTGCTTGGGAACCACAGTCCCCGTTCTTCTGGAGTCTTCCAAGGTGGGAAAGGAAACTTGAGCCGGCGAGCAGGAGCAGATCTTGGGAAAGGCATGAATGCACGTTCTGCAGAGCAGGAGTCTCCAACCTGGGCAACGTTGCTGGCTGAGGAATTCTGGGCGTTGAAGTCCACATGTTGTAAAGTTGCCAAGGTTGGAGACCCCTGTTCTAGAAGAGCATCTCATCATTCTCCCTGCGGGAGGAAGGCCTCTTCCACGCTATCTAGAGAAGGCATATCTTCTGAAGGGGAAAACAGGCTTCGTGCTTCAGGAATAGTGCTTCCCACCAAGGACAAATTTATGCCGAACCAATTAGCTTAAACCCACTGAATTAATCCTTTCTTCCCCCTTGAGAGCCAAACCCCTGGGCTTGCACACAAGCATCAAAGCCCAAGGGAACCTCCGAGAGGAGCCTGCATTCCGCAAAGATATGAGAGATGCCCAAATCACTCAACACAAAAGGGCCTATTCGCCTCATCTCTCTGGCTGCAGGTGACGCACAGCAGGAAGAGAAACATAAAAACAAGGAGGAGGAAGACCCCCCAACCCTCTACAAAGAAGATTAGCGTCTGTCAGCAGCAATCTGGCAACAAAATTAAGCGACATACCAGCTCAGGAGGCATCGAGCTTAGAAGGTGGGAGGGAAGGGCCATCTTCATCACACGCAGAAAAGGCAGAGGGGAGATTGTGGTAAAACTGACATCTTGGCACGGAAGAGGAATTTCAGGTGAGAAGCAAATAGAGCAGGTTAAAAAAAGGGGGGGGGGTATCCCTCTCATCTTACAGCCCATCTGGGAAAGAGGATTTTGGCTGGGGTCTGCAAAGCCTTCTACAACAGATCTTGAATCCCCCAAATGACCCTTTCGGGAAACAGGCTGGGGTTGAGGGCACCACAGCTGGAAGGGCTCCCCAGTTTCTGGGATGACCAGGTTGGGGACTCTGCTCTGGGATTGGGGGACACTAGAGGCATCAAGGGAGTAGAGAGTCTGGCCCAAAGTAGGCTCCATGAAATACTGAGTATGAGAAAAAGAGGCAGGGGCTGTCCAGTCCACGTTCTCCCCAACCCCAACTGGCCCAAGAGGCCGGAGGTGGTCTTGAGTCAAACCTCTTGCTCTTCTCTGAGTGTAGCTGAATCCTTTTCCACTAAGTTCAACTATTCCTAATCCCACCATCCCCTTCCAAAACCCCTGAGATTAGCACCCCTGATTTACTAGCCACCCCCAACCCACCTATGTTGCTTTCTGAAACATCCGAGATTTTGCTTTCAGGAGTCAGTCCAAACGCCTGGCAAGTCTCACGGATGATCAACGGGAATGGAAAAGGGACCCATCTCCTCCTGCCACTCAGGGAGCCCAATTAAGAGCAATGAGCCAGGAACGAGAGTGACCGGCACACGGCAGGGTCCTTGCGTTGCTTTCAGGAGGAGCACACGGAGGCTGCAGGCGTTCCCACACTTGCAATTTCTCCCAGTCATCCAATGAGCACCCCGAGACACCAAAAGGCATTAATTCAAATTAATGAAGCTCTTTTACATGGTCAGAGGTGATCGTGATGAGAGGAAGGCTGGCTTTATGGGGGCCCCCTTGGCTTGCCCTCGATCTGCTCCTTGGAGGGGGTGAAGGTCACCTGGAATCGACAGCACTGAGCAACCCACCAAGTAGGCTATGACTACACAACGGTGGAAATAAATAAGCCACGCAAACGAGGACTTTCTCAAGGTATCGGCTTCCTTAAGAGCCTGGAAGGAGAAAATGGTAACGAGGCAAAACACTTGATGGTCAACACAAGGAAAAAGGAGGGTTAAGGCACATAGAGAGGAAAGGTTTTGTTATTTCAGTAGACCCAACATTTCTGAGCCTCCTCAGAGAAAGCAGAGCCTGTGTGTTCTAGGAGAGGGATGAGAGCGTCACGACAGACGGACGGAAGGCCCAAGGCGGCCAGGCGAAGCAAGGTGGAAGTCACGCGGGCGGCTTCTGAAGTGGGAGGAGCACAATCTCGCCTCCCGTGCTGGGCTCGACCCACAAGTCCACTTCTGCCCAGGAGCCCAAGAGGGAAGAAGAAGAAGAAGAGAAACCCTGCAAAGAAGAGCCCGGGGGGACGGGCGAGGGAGGCAGGGTGTGGCTACTCTCAGGTGATCAGCTGGAGCCGAGACACGTGCCCTGGGAATGGCAGGTAGGGAGCGGCCCAAGGGTGGCTCAGGGTGATGGGTGGGAAGGGCCAGGGAGGGGCTTCAAGGTGCCGAGCGAAGGGGCGAGGCAGCAGCCATCTTGGGTGCAATGGGGCTGGCAGCTGCAGAGGCCGAGGTAGTTGCATGGAAACCAAAAATCAAATTAATTGTCCTTAGGAAGGGCGATGCCTGCGGACCAGAGCTGAAAAGGAGAACCGGTTCTCTGTATTTTAAAGAAAGAAAAGCAGAACTCGGGTTGAGCCAAAGTTGGTCGCGCCTACTCATAGACTACAGTCCCCTAAAGAGCCCAGCCACGTTTGCCTCTGTTGGGAAGGGTGGTCCAGGCGTTAAGGAGCCCCTTGCCAGGCCAACATCCCAAACCCTTTCGGGTCACCCAGGCGAGTGGGGGGTGGGGGGAAACAAACAACACCAAAATAAATCAGGAATAAACGGAATTGGAAAGAAGCCCCTTTCCTCTCTCTTTCATGGTCCCTTCCCCCCACCCGTCCCCACCCGTCCCCCTGGCAGGTAAGGTACAGCAACACCTGTAGGCTTCGACCCATAGGGCTGGGGGAGGTACTGTACCTGTGGCGATGTTGGTGGTGGTGGTGATGATGATGGTGGTGGGAAGTGTGGTGGTGGGAGGAGGGAGAGTTGTGGGAAGATCTAGATAAAAAAAAACACATAAAGAAAGAAAAAGAAAACAGGGGGGAAAAGAGCAAATTAAAAAGAAATGAGCAGAACACAAAAATGGTCAACAAATCAGCAAAGAAGCCAAATAAAAGGATGGCGCTTAGCGGCTGGGCTTGGTCCAGCTGTTGCGGGTGGACGCCAGAAGGTGACGGACGATGACGCAGCTCTTGCTTGGCTTGGGGTGGGTGAGATCCAGCAGCAGTTAGCCCTCCCCCTCCTCCCCCCTCCCCCCCAGGATGGGGAGATTGGGGGTGGGGTGGGGAGATGGAGAGGAGGTGGAACACAAAAATTAGTCACAGATGCAAAACCGCATGGGATGGCCCTCCTCCAGAACCCACCAGAAAAAAAAAAACAACCCCACTGAGGCTGCATGCCCCCCCCCCCCCAGGAAGGAGGGCTGTGTGCCCCATTTAGGAAGCATATTAAGGCTTGTTTTTGATTTCTTCGGTTGGCGCTTTGGCATCTGAAAAAGAGGGGCCACCCCCACATCACCGCTGGGTTTAGCAGCCCAAATACCAACACCAAATAAGACTGCCCCCCCTTCCTCTTTGCTTTCTCCAGAGCAGTTAACTTCATTATTCCCCCCCTCCATCAACCCATCCCAGCAGGATATAAAACTACTTCTAAGCCAGCAATAAATACAAAAGGGAACGAGAATGTCATGGCTGAATATCAAGTTGGATGCATGGAAGAGTTGAGTGAGATTTCTTTTAACATAAAGTCAAAGTCTTTGGGACTTATAAATATTCATGCCCAGCCCAGGATCCGTGCATTTTTCACCCTCCAGTGGATGGAAATAAAGGGGGATTCCCCCCTTTTCCTTTCTGACCACAAAAGGGAAGAAAAGGCCCCTTGGTCTAGAAGGGGGTTGGCCTGTAAATGCCAGCCACAATCTCTCCTGAGGGCACCCAACCTTTGCCAAGAACGGGTGGCCTCTTGACTTCCTACCTTTTCCGAGCCCCTCTGGACGGAGGAGAGAAGGAAGGGGAGGGAGAGGAGACACTGGGGGAGGGGAGGGGGGAGAGAGAGGAAGTGCCACATGTATCGCTGCCCAAACGATCAAACTGAATGTGTTAAGCACAACACCCGACTTTGAACTTGGGAACGAATCGTCAGTAATGGAGCTTGAAATGGTTCAGAGGCTTTTGATTTCAAGTTTTATCTTAAGCATGTCAAACTTCTCATCACTGACACATCTACCCCTCTTTTATCTTCAAGAGAGCTCTTGGATTTTCTAATTAATAAATCCAAACTCGCTTCACCTTTATCGTGTGCTTGGCACAACTTCTTCAGGAGGGGGTAGGTATGGCCAGGAGACAGGGCTGCTGAGGGAGCGGCGCTCGGCTGCCCAACCATCTGGAGATCCCTTCAGTGGGTGCCAGGCAAGAGACAGGCCTGTTGGGCACCAAATTAAAGGACTGGACCCTCTTTGAAGGCAATGAAAGCCGAGCAAATCGTTTTGTTCCTGCAGTCCAGTTTCAGAGCGGCTGCCCTGCTTGATCCGACTGCAGAGCAGTGGGACACAGCACAGGTGGACCCTCTTGTGTTGGGTCAATAAAGGTCATCTATTTCTTCTACCTCTGTAAATCCAGCTCCCAGCCAAATGTGCCAAGATTCGGTGGCCACATTCGTCCAAAGCAAGACAGCATCTGGGTGGTTTATGGTGGAGGGTGAGTTTGGAAACCGCAGGGCTGCTATTGATTTCACTGGGATCTGTGCACCAGGACCAGATTCTCCGTCTCTGCCATGATGAAGGAGGCCACGATTTTCCAGAATGGAAAGGAGGCCAGGAAAATGGAACCCTGGGGGTGAGTCACCAGCTTGTTGCCTCTCACAGGCACCTGGCAGCGGCAGCCTAAAAGGCCATAGGGACCATTCTTGTCTGGTGCACAAGGTTCTCTGCTGCCTTTCCGTTGTTTGGGGCCATTTTGATCCATGCTTTGATGCAGGGGATCATCAAGGAAATCATATCCTCTCGCGAGATTATCTGCAAAGGGGGATCCTTTTATGATTTCTTCCAGGAAAGGGGTCTTCGGAGAAACACCATTTTTCCGACTCAAAAGATAGTGAAATGTATTTATTCTAGACAGCCGATCAAGCATAAGAAGGAGATCAAAGGGAAAAGGTACTGAGATGTCTTGAGGTCCAGGATCCCTGACTTTTCCATGCAAGAACAAAGTTGTCCAGCAGCAGCCAAGTTGGCTGGAAACTCTGGAGAACTCAACTTCCAGCCCCACGAAAAGCGCCAGTTTGGGGTGGCTGACCTGATCTGTCATTGCTTGGAGAGAGTAGGGATGCTGATTGTCCTTCAGATAAACCAGGCATGTCAGCTCCTGGCCAGCTGACCCTCAACCAGGAAGGGTTCTACTAAAAACTAAGCCAAGCAGGAGAAGATTTGGGTTTGGAGTTCAAGCTTGACTTCTAGTGCTGTTCTACCATGTTTTAGATGCAGGAGAGCAGACCAGGAGGCTGCGGTGGAAATCTAAGCATGGCTTCATTCGGTTACCAATTCCTCTGGGATTCAACAACTGCTCTACCATTATTAGTCTTGCTTGCTTTTTCCAGAGGAACCACAGGAAGGACAGCACCTGGCATCAACTTGGGCAGGAAGGAAGATGATTCCATTTGCGTCTTAAAGAAGAGGGGGCCCCAATCCAACCTGTGCCTCTTCTTGATCTTCCTAGCCCAACCAGTGTTCACTCCTGAACACTGACTGTGGATCAGCCAACGCCCTTTGTTTCATTGGGAAAGTTAGAGAACACCCGTCAGGTCACTCATACAGGAAAAAGAGGGGGAATAAAATGAAATTGTAAAAGTTCCTCAAAGAAACCAGAGGCCTGACTAGGTCAAAATGCTGTCAGCTTTCCAAAACTAGCGAAGATGTCTACCTGTCCACACCTGCAGTTGGGTAACTTTTCTCTCTTAAAGTGGCAACTTGACATTTCTCACCCATTTTCGATAAACACACACTTATTCTGATTAGAGGCAATAATTAATGACTGACCCTATTGAGTCTGGGAGAAAAAGGCTCCACACTTGGTTGACTGATGATGGAACCTTTCTACGGGCCCCGCAACAGGAACAACGAGGCTCCTGGGCTTGGAGCACAGAGGAAGCTTCCGTATGAATCCCTATAAAGAGGAATACTTGCAGGGAAGACCACTGGGGGCCAGGGCAGGCATGGGGAGGGAAGAGTTTAAGCGGGGGGCGGCGGGGGGAATGGGTGGAGTGGAAGGATGCTTGTAATGCCTCCACTCAATTACCGAAGCTTTCGCGTTTCCTGCTGAGCTGGCTCAGTCAACTAATTCCCTGAGTTTCCACTGTGGATATTTCACTGAACGGGACGTCCCAACAACAACAGCCGCTGCCGTTCAGGGCTGCAGGGGCTGCCTTTATTTGGGGGCTCAGTCTGCCCTCTCTAACCCCTAACCCTAACCCTAACCCTGACCCACCAGGCTCTCAACAGGGTTGAACCCATTTGCAAGCAGATCCATGGTTCTGCTCAAGGGCCCGAGTTTATGGCTGTTGATGTCCGATGCGAAGGCCTCTTCCAAGGGGAAAGGAAATAATCCAGTGGCATGTAGTGCACTTGGAAGTGCAGTTCTCAGTGGCAAAAGATTGATAGAATGGTGTGGTGTTCCCTTAGATTGTGCACCGGTGGCATTCTCAGCTGGTGACCTGAGGAGCATTGGTTCGAACATTAAAAATAGAAATCTGTTTTTCTTCACCGTTTACGCCAGAGGTCCCCCAAACTTGGCCACTTTAAGACTTGTGGACTTCAACAGAATTCTGGGAGTTGAAGTCCACAGGTCTTAAAGCGGCCACATTTGGGGATCCCTGGTTTACACTTAAATAAAATAGGTTGGGAGACATGGCTGAACCCATCCTGCCAGGCGGGAATGAGCATTTACCACCTCCAGCCCAAGCCTTTTCCCTCTCGGTTTGGGACTGCTCCTTCCGCCAACAAGACCGTAAGGACAGGACTGCTCTACTCGGTGCAAAGGGAAGGTGACCCCAGAGTCAGGCAGAGGAAGGACGGAAAGAAGGGAGGAAGGAGGGAGGGAGGGAAGGAGAAGCTAACCGGCTTCGTTCCAGTGATGCTGCCTTTACCGTACGCTCATGCTGGGCCTGGGCCCAAGGAAGGCAGCTGACCCCAGCCAAAATGGCGGCTTACTTGCTGACACCATGCCCCCTCCCCCAAAGACCTCGGGAGCAATTCGGCATCAAGGCATCTGGAAGAAAGGCGTGCTGGTCTCACGTACCGTATACATAAAGCGTGTAATCAGAATAGGCCGTCCCCACTTGGTTGGAAGCCTCACAACGGTATGTGCCGTTATCGCTTTTGTTTAGGCTGTCAATGTGGAGGTTTGACCCCGACACCAAAACGTGCTGGGGCATCTCATCGTCGACTCTTAACCACGTCACATCAACAGGCCTGAGAAGAAGACCCAAAGAAGAACATTGTGAAAGAGCTTCCCGGGCCACATGGCTCCCCCATCCCTGCGAGCATAAACTCCAGCCCCAATGAGTCTGTCTGAGAAAAAGAGAGAGAGAGAGAGAGAGAAAGAAGGAAGAGAACAGGAAGGAAGGAAGGGAGAGAGAGAGAGAGAGAGAGAGAGAGAGATGGGTGGTGAAAACTCTCTCTGCACGGAGGAATCGGCTAATCATAAACAGAGAAGCAACCATGGGTGTGGGTGGGAGGTTGAAATGATTTCCCCATCCCCGATCTGTCCAAGCCAGAAGCTGAGCATTTTGTTTCAAGTCAGACATAGCCCAACCACTACATAAATCAGTGATAAATCTTATGGCTTTCTGAATTACTCTGGGCACCTGGAATGTAATTGCCAAGATAGCAATCTATTTCTCTCTTATTCCTTCATAGGAAGAGTAAACATTAATGTTAAGCCACAATGTGTGATGGGTTCCACACAATGAATAAATTAGAATATATCACAGAGAACAGGAAAGACAACACCGCAAAATACAACAACTCAAAAATAAAACCCAGAAACATGCAACCAAGCCGAGCCAACAGGAGGGGGGAAATAAATAAATTTTTAAAAAAAGAAAGAAAAAAGAAAGAGAGACGATGCCGAAAGACGTTACCTAGCAAAACGTGTCTCTTCTGTCCAATGCACCTTTCCTGTCAAGAGAGCTCCACTGAACAGAATCCCTGCGTGTCAGCCTTAGGCTGGAAGGCATGGTGGGAAATGGGGGATTGGCATGTGTGTGTGTGTGTGTGAGAGAGAGAGAGACCTCTAACTGAATTGACCCAACCAGGAAGGTATCGATTAGAGCAGCCAGTCTCTTAACCTTGGCACCTTTAGGATGTGCACCCTTCAAGTCCAGACATCTTAAAGGTGCAAAGGGTGCGAAACGCTGGATCAGAGTTATCTGCTCTGGTTAATTCATTTGAGAGACCGAAAAAAGGAAGGCTCAGATGCCAAAGCTGTGGGTTGTAAAGAATTAATAGTAAGTAAAACCCAGCCTACAAAGAACCCTCTTTCCTTGCTCGAAATATTTGTCGTTTCTTCTGCACTAATGCTCTGCGAAAAGATTTCATCACACTCCTGCTCAGAAATGGCTCTTAAGAGCCTGGATATAAAAAGCTACTGAAAAACTGCTATAATGCTTCAATTTTTGCAACAGCTTATTAGCACCTTCCATTTAGGGATTTGGGGGCTTAGGGAAATGAAAACCTGACAAATAGGAAGTACTTAGCCCGGGTGAGAAGGGATCTTTGCTCTCCTATAATTCCGTCCGTACTGCCTTCAACTAGGAGGCCTCTCCCAGTCCTTCTCCTTAGTTCACACCCGCAGCCCAACAGAGGTCCAGGGACGTCCTCTGGTGGCATCGCCTCTTTCTGGAGACCACACGGAGGAGCCCCTTTCGCTGCTCTAGAGTGACCGGAGGCCACCAGGTGCCTCAAGCGGGATGGTGGACGGCACCTGCTCCCGCAGAGGCCACCCTCGTGCCTCCTCCACCGCCTGAGGGCCACAAAGAAGACGAGGAGGAGCAGGACAGGGAAGGTGCCGAGAGACACGGGGGGTCGAGAGGGGGACGGCCGCCACGGGGCTGGCAAGCCAGAAGGGAGGTTTTGCCACACAGCAACTCACGAGAGGCCCTGCTCTGTCGCAGCGAGCCAACCCCCGTGTGAGAGCCTCACTTACTCTGGTTTCCCTTTGACTTGGCAGAGGAGTTCGAGAAGGTCTCCTTCCCTTGTGAGCGGCTGCGGAGGAGAATTCTGCAAAACTTGCACTTCAGGCTTATCTGCACATCAAAGACACAACACAGACAATGAAAAAGAGAGGAAAAAAAATAAGAATGAATGAACGAATGAATGAATGAATCACCCCCTTACAAAAAGACACCAGGCAAATGGCTCATTTGGTTATTTCTTTAAAAAGACAGGTCCTGCAGAAGAAAACGGTCCAGGGCTTCCCGGCTGGTTGGACCTTTTGATCTGTAAATTATCCTGGCGTTTCCCCCAAATTAAGTTGACTAATAAGCTCCAAACCTAACATGTTGATAAGAAACCTGCACGCCAAGGCAGCGGCTCCCCCTGGTTCTTGCAAAAAGAAATTTTATTAAATTGAAGTTTATCTCTGAACTCATTTGAGCTAAAGGAAACTCATTTGCCTTCACGCTATGGTGAAACAGCAGATTTGCGGTGTTCAGAGCTGATACCTTTTATCATGCATCATATTTTATGGGCTGGCAATCCTTTGTGAGGTGGCAAATTAATAGGCTGGGCTCTAGTGGGGGCATTTGACGAAAAGGAGTAGGCCGAGCCACGCACTGGTTTCTGCAAGAGCCAAGGAAATTCTCAAATGCCCACAAAGCCACCAGGGGAGGAAAGCACTTCACACCCAGGGAGAGAATCTGGGAATCCTTTGGAAAGACCCTGCAAGAGAAGAGCAGTTACAGAGAAGGTTGCCCTAAGCCACAACCATGGCACAGACACAATACCCAATGTCACCTTCAGGGCAAGACCATCTCTTCCTTGCCATGGACATTTTGGGCCAAACCAGTAGGAGGAGCCAAGCAGGGAATAAGTCTGGAATCCTTGTGTAGGCACAAAAGGGTAACAGTCTCCCCTTGAATGCCAATGAACCTTATCCAGTGTGGCTGGGTGCAAAACCCCAGACTGGGAGGATTCCTGTGTTATAGGCATGAACAATAACGTGGCTAATTGAACTCTTCACGTGTGGATCTGGTTGTTCACACCTGACAGCGCCTGCTGTAATTTTAGGAATGGCCAATAATAAAGAAACATGTTAGATTATGGTTATCCCCCCCCCCCCCCCAACAAATCCTGGGATACAAGCAAGGTTAGGAATAGACATGTACGGATTAAAAGACAAACACAAGACGTTCACAATTAAATGCAAAACACGTTTCCTGTCCCGGCGAGAGCGTCAGTGAAGATGGACCCCCTTGCAAAACCTAAAGGCCGAGAGTTGGAGCTGATCCTGGCCCTTTACTTGATCAGATAAGGAGCCTTCGACTCAATCCTCGTAATGAGAGGTTGATACAAAGGAACACTGTAAGTAACAGTCAACACCACGACTGAGTTATAACCAAGGGTAAGGTTTCCAATTATCCTATAAGAAAATAGCTTGATAAGGTGTCTGAGGTATCACAGTTTGCAAATTCTATAGTATGACACACACAAGATTGAAAAAAAGCTAGAGGAGAGGAGAACGTGCTACACCTTAAAAGAGTCACACATTTAATACTGCATCAACATCTTGTGCCACAAAACTCATCTTTTTCTGTAACAGACTCACACAGCCCACCCCCTGCCCCCCCCAGTCAGTGGTTAAAATTTGAAAAAGCTATGGTGGAATTGACAGTATCGTTTAAGACAGATAAGTAAAAAGTAACACAACTGTAATGCAAAGCAGGCACGCAATGCACATGCACCAATATGACACAACCCACAGCTTTTCCAGCAGCAAGGAGGCGGCTGCTCTTTTGACACTATTGGAGGGAGGCACTACTGTTGGACTCCACTGATGCAACTACACAAAGTTGTGCAACAATCTCCAGGTCAGAATGAGAGATGAGGAAAGTATCTGGACCTCTCATCATAAGATAACCCAAATCTGAAATTCTGAAATTCCCGTCAACCCCACTTCCCTCCTTACCTTTTCACCTGGGACCCAGAGTCTCCCCTTGGCCCCATTGCAAGTCACACACACACAAACACACACACACACACACACACACACACACAGAGAAAGACTTGGAAAGAAGGAGAACCCAGGAGTAGCTCTGAAATACCCAAGGATCACCTTGTTCTGTTCAAGAAAAATAGGCTTTGATATACTTGGATTGAGAAAGAAAGTCAATTTTTAAGAAAACCCTAAAACTGAGGGAGGAAGAAAGCAAATTGGAGTAAGTGACTCTTTAGACATTTGTGGGGGAAAAGGAAGGGAATCAATTAAATACAGATCAGCTAGGACAGAGTTTCATGGATAAGAAAAGAAAACTGGGAGATCCACGCTGGTTTAATGAGCAATCAGTTCTCCCCCAAAACAAGAAAGACTGAGAAGGAAACCAGAGAGAAATCAGAAATAAAAGGCACCAGGAGGAGAGGAACAGGATCTTAAACCGGACATGAAAAGCAGAAAGGCAACTAGCAAAGGAGAAGAAAATAAAACAAAACAGAGAGGCATGATTATTGTTGCACACTGAGTATCTAGAAACAAGGGATTGAAAGTGGGAAAAGGAAAAATTGGATAAAGCTATTTTAACAGACAAGAATGAAATAAGGGAAGAGGGGCTACTATAGACAGAATTAATGGGAATAGCATAGCATAGCTTGGCATAGCTTATTAACAGAAAAAATGGGTCAAGATGCAATTAATAATAAAAAACAAAGAGCAGAAACATAATTTAAATAGTAGCCATACTGCATTGTTGACTGACATTGGGCTATCATTAACCACTCGGCGTCTGTGGATAACAGCAAGTATAAATTGAGCAAACCTAATAAGTCAATAGTTTTGATTTTGAGATTAAAACCACACACATTCTACATAATAGAAGAGCAGGAACGGAAGCATCAGAGGGAGGGTGACAAGACATCCTGTCCCTGAAAGGTTGGTTTGTTTGTTTTTATAAAAGTGTAGGATCAATAGCAACAAAATCAAAGTTTTTTTAAAAAAAGAACATGGACTAGAGATAGTAAAGATGAAGCCAGCCTCCTCCTCCTCCTGCTGTAATAACAGAATTTTTAGCAAGAAACGAAATCAGAAACTGAAGAATCTCCCAGGATGAAAGGCAGACCACGGAGGAACTCAGAGCTGTAAAAAAAAGGGGGCTCATGAAAAGCACAATCAACAACTGGAGGATACAGCAAGCAAAGCTGAGCACCAGTGCCACCTTTCCATAAGAGAAAATCAGTTTGAGTAATACAAGTCACAGAACAAAAGAATTGCGGCGTTAGAAAAGATTTCAAGCATCCTCTGGTCCAGTGGTGGGATTCCAATTGTTTTACTGCCGGTTCTGTGGCTTGGTGGGCTTGGTGAGCGTGGCAGGGGAAGGAGACTGTAAAATCTCCAGTCAGAGGTGGGATTTGCCGGTTCTCCAAACTACTCAAAATTTCCACTACCAGTTCTCCAGAACTGGTCAGAACCTGCTGAATGCCACCTCTGCTGTGGTCCAACCTCTGCAACATGGAAGGAAACCAAGTCAACCCTCCATGGCGTCCAACCTCTTCTTTGAAAAGCCTCCGGAGACGGAGAATCCAAAACCTCCGTAGAGAAACACTTCAATTATTGCACAGACCTTGCTGACAAGAATATGTTCATTAGAGTTAAATGCAACCCAGGTAACTGTCATTTGCGCTCATTGTCTCTGGTCTTACTTTTGTAACAACGAAAAATAACTCTTCACTCTCTCTTCCCTTTGGCATCCTCATGCCACCCCCGTAGACCCCTCTTCTCCAGGATGAACCTCTGCAGGGCCCTCAGCCTTCCTCGCGGGCCACGTCCGCCAGTCCTTGGCTCCCTGGTTGCATTCAGGCAGTCAGGCACGGAGCCACATTAATGCTGTGCCATCCAAACCAGACTGTAGCAGCCTGTCAATGAGAATGTCATGTGGAAACTTTGCTGATATTGAGGTAGATTATCCCACTGCCTTCCCCCCTTTTCCAATAAAGTAGCTCCCTTGTCAAAGGAGGAGACAAGATTTGTCTCACATGACCTGCTTTTCACAAAGCCTTGCTGACTCTCAGCAATAATGGCATTAACTTCAAGATGCTTACAAATGGCCTGCTTTATTGTTTGCGCTAACATCTTTCTAGCTATTGATGTTAAGTTCACTGGCTGATAATTACAGGGTTTGCTGTCTTTCTTGAAGAGGGGGTTGCATTGGCTCTTTGCCCAGCTGTCTGGCGCATCCCAATTCTCCAGGTTTCCTCAAAGTTTAACAGACAGGGGTCCTAAAAGCTCCTCGGTATATTTCAACAGGGCTTGGAGGAATACTGTTTCCTAGTATGATTTGATTGCTTGTTGTACCCTATGACTATCATTAAGTGTTGTACCTGATGATTCTTGACTCTTGACGAGTGGTATCTTTTCTTTTATGTACACTGAGAGCATTTGCACCAAGACAAATTCCTTGTGTGTCCAATCACACTTGGCCAATAAAAAGAATTCTAATTCTAATTCTAAACATTGACCTATTCAAAGAGACCAAGGCCCAGCATGATCCCAAGCCTTTGGATCTCTAGTCGTTTCTGATCAAATGCACAAGGCTGCATCTTCCACTGGGACTGGGGTGCTCCAAGCTCATGTGGGCTCCCTTGTAGTTGGGACATGGAACAAGCCCAATAACTAGAAAGTATCTCCCCATCTAGCAAATCAGCTTCCCACAATGAAGGAACTTCTGTCCCCACCCAGAGATGGTCACTTGACCTCACTTGGGCTTCCCAACTAGGCTTCAATGAATGAACCTATTTCTCTTGTTAGGGTCTGAGAACTAGACGGCTATTTTTCAGAGGGATGGAAATGACACACCTAAGCAGCTTCGTCAGGAAACAGAACAACCCCAAATGAGATGCCCCCCACAACTGGAAACATCTGGGAGAACATCCATGGCCAAGTGCCCTTGTATGAGCAGATGGCATGTTTTACAACTCATACCCTTGCTTGCAAGTGTCACCCCACACAGAAGGTCAGTACACGTCCTCTGAAATCAGGGAGAAGACTGCAATGTTTATTTCCAGGGACCTCTGGAAATTCAGCCAACCTACCTTTCTG